GTCCCTGTCTTCCAGCTCGGGGGGCCGAGTACCCTGAGGATAACTGGTCTGCCTGTTAAAGACTGAGGCAAAGAAGGCATTGAGTACCTCAGCCTTTTCCTCATCCTCGGTGACAATGTTCCCCCCCGCATCCAATAAAGGATGGAGATTTTCCTTGGCTCTCTTCTTGTCATTAATATATTTGTAAAAACTTTTTTTGTTGTCTTATCAAGCAGTAAGAACACAAAGGCTCAGTGGACAAGCTGTTATACCTTTTCTGTCTTTGAAATCTCATTAAGAAAAGGTTGTCTGTAAAAAAATAATGATAATGCATGCTCCTATCCCTGCTGCCTTTCTAGAATCGAATGCATTTTGCAGTAATTGCACTTCGCTCCCATCCTAGGAGGCTGTCTAAGTATAATTGCTGTGCCAGAGCCCAGACCAGACTATGGGGATCCTAACAGTCGTGCCATGCTCTTCCTCATGCTGGGTCCTGAAGTTAGTTCTTTTATTCAGGGTTGATAAAGATATAATCTGCAACCATCCTGAAACACCACAATCCCAATTCACGTAATGCAGAGGTACAGCTGGTCATGAGGTGTTGCCTGTACACTGGTTTTGGATCCTTCATTAGTGTTCCAATGCCTTCTAGTGTCGCTACAGGTTGCCTGTATTCAATTTTGAATGTATTGCTAATGGCTCTTCTTTAACCCTCCCCCTCCTATAAAAGAGTAATAACTCCACCAAATACATTTCATAGCACAATGTGTGACAGTGGTGAGGTCTCTGTTTGTATCTAGAATGTTGTATCTTAACCTGGGAGGAGAGTGCTTCAAAGTTGGGTTGACCCCAACCCAAATAGCAAAAACCCAGAAGCACCCTATGTTATATGTGTAGAGTTCAGCCATGAGAGTACAGCAGTATGTCTGTACTACCTTGAAAAAAAGAGTGAGTTTAGCAATTGTTTCACTGAAACAATGCAGCTAAGCAGCTCTCAGAACAAAGTACAAGAAACCTAAAGCAGAGATTTTGCAGCTTGCTCCCCACTGCCGTTGTTTTGCATTGTTTTGATTTCACAATGCACAATGCACACATAACACATTATGACTCCTGTAACATCTATGTGAATAAGCAGGGATCATCTAGCCTGGGGCAAGGTGCTAACCAGGAGTATAAATTATTTGTAATGCTGGCTTTTATCTATGTATCAAACTTCTACTATCTCTTTATGAGAAAAAAAGTTAACATTTGCCAGACTGGTCGGATTAAAGCCATTTGAATTTTTCAGTCTGCAGAGAGACTTGACAGAGAAACTGAGAGACTGGTCACATTATTTCCAGAATTATTATTTTTTAAAGCAGAATTGTTGTAGTAAAATCATTGGTAGGCACAATGCACTGAAGAATTACAGTAATCTGTGATAGGGAAAGTCTAGCAAGATCGAAGCTCTTAGAATTAAAACTTTCACAACTGTCAGCTCTGTGACCTCATGCTCCAAGGATAGTACTTGCACGTTGTGAGAACCAATCACTTGTTTAACAGGAGTATTGAATAGACAAAGCACTGAGAATTATTTCCAATGAAACACCCAGTCTTGTCTTTTACTTGGTTGGAGCTTCTTTGTATCAGCACCGGTACCCACATGGCACTGCACTGTATGTGATGGACATAATGCAGATTACACACAGGGAACTATATTGCACAATAATAAAAAAAAATTTGTTACAGTCACTCTTTATCATCTAAGCACATTAAAACTGCCAGTTCTTCACATCCAAAAGGTTGACCATTAACTGAATTGTTGCTTCTGCTAGGAAGAAACAAGCAATAATAATCAAGAATTTCTTTAGTGGGATCCTGTGTGTTTGTGTGAGAGGTAGATGGGTTCCTGCTTCCTGGGGCATGGCCTGAATCGTGCGGCAGGGGACACTTTCCACTCTCACCATTCCATGCCTATTTCCAGACAATGCACTGCTCAGACAATCTCTTCGCTTCCTCTCATGATCCTCCTGCTAGAAATGAATCTCTGGTTTTGCTGGCTGCCCAGGTCTGTGACCTCCACAAGTAGAGACCCTCCTGATTACTCCTGGTGCACAGTGCAAGGGTTTATCAGCAGGCATAAATTTCTGTGGCTATGGGTGGGCATGTGCCCTCCTGTTTGTTCTGTGAGACAGCAAAAGCCAATTTGTCAGCCTGGGAACTGGTTGTCTTTGACCCTCTATCCTTCCCAGTGCTCTTAGCTTTCAAATGACAAGTCTGTCAGCAAAATTACTATGAAGACACTGTATTGTTTATATCTGTTCCAACAGACCTTTGTCCATAACCTATGATGCCCCTGCCTTCAACAGTACTTCTGTCACCCCTTTGAAGCTTGGGAAGGGAAAGGGAGCAAAAGGACTACAGTCCTACAATTCCCCCTTCCCTAAATATCCCTCACATGCTCTTGTACTGTCTTTTTCCCTCCTAGCCCACTTTGCAAATTACTTAATATAAAGAGAACGATCCCCTCTCTATCCTTAGAGTTTTGTTCTGAGCATCCAAGATTTTCAGCCTGTGAAGAGAGAGAGAGGGTTTTTCACAGCTACAGTGGGATGGCTGCAGGAACGGGAGTATTTGTGCAACACTGCAATGGGAAAATAAGCCGACAGCAGTGAAAGAGCTGAGAAATGATGTTAAGCAAAGGTGAAGTACTTTTACAAGGCAGCTCATGAAAAAAATCTCTGTTGGCACCTTTCCTCCAGGACTGCATGCTTTACTCAATGAGGAGCCTATATCTTCTCTGCTTCTTGCTATGGCCTCCCCATATGATTTGGTAGAAGCAGTCCTGCAGATGTGTGGCAAAAGGTAAGTCAGCTTGGCACCATCTTTCACAAAGTCTACAGTTTTTTGAAACCTAGAGGATCTGGGATGGATCCAAACACGGAAGAGGAAGGCTGTCAAAGAAGTGCTGCAATGTGTGGTGCTGAATGCAAGGATTTTTTTAGCCTGGCTACCAAAGGTTCAAGTTGTCACTCAGAGTATCTGTCTGGCTATCAGTTTCCAGTCATTTTTAAACCTGCTGGTTAATTTTACTTCAAAGAGTGAGCATAATATAATAACATATCATACAATGTCTTATAAGGGAGTATCATCCATCTCAGTATGATATAGTACTGTGCACCACATTGCAAAGCATAGCAATCTAAACTGCAGCAGCTCATAGTGCGACATACTGCAACATAATGCATTTCCCAAATGAAAGTAGTCCTGCATTGTCTTACGGCCTTCTAGAGGACACAGTTATTGAGAAGGATGGAGACGGGGAGGGACAAGAAGTGTTTGTCATAGGTGAAACCTGAACTGCTGAGAACTGGGAAACAAAGTTAGTAAATTCTCTAATGCAGCCTTGCTTCTGCCCTTTTCAGCAGATACGCTAATATACCACTAATCTATACACTTGCACTGTACTAATATGGCTTGTCCTAGAGAATAGGGAATGTTATAATTATTGCCAGAACTGTAACAAGTTCTATCAAGCAAACCTTGTTTGGGGCATGAGGCACAGAGTTGAGCTGCCTGCACTGATTCTAGTCTTGAAAACCTTGATTCCCCCACTGACACCCCCAGCTTCTTGCCAATGCTTACAACCCATTCATTTTCACCCAGGGCATTCCCTTTGCCACTGTCCCTTCACTTGCCCTTCATTAACGTCCTCCTTTTATGTTCCCTTGGGTAATACAGCTAAGACCTTTTAAAGGAGTGTAATGTACCGATGCCAAAATAGCGAATATCCTGTTGACTGTGTATTGACTTGAGATACAGGATTCAGCTTCAAGCCTTGCTCCAAATACCACAACACATGGTCCAGAAGCTGGATATCAACCTACCAAATGTCCTTTCTCATTAGCTCATTTGGGCAGTTGTTTCTTTTCCTCTTTTTTTCAGTCCCTAATTCCACTTGGAACTGGAAGCCTTCCCTGACAAACTGTTGGCAGTGTGGTATGTCTATGTGAAAAACTCTGGTTTCAGTAAGCCCACATTTTTGGAAAAAAAATGTTTCATTTGAAAAATAAGTGACCAACTCTACTGCTTTTACTATTGTGCCCTTTACTGTTTAACAGGCAGCGTCTTCCCACCATTTTGCTCTAAGCCAAAATATAGCATATTTCCATAATTTTCATATTTCTCCCCCCAAAAACAAACACAAAAAGTAAAGAAAAAGGTAGATTTTAATCTTAGTCTGAGCATAGCTGCAGAGGAGTGATGCTTAACACCTTGATAAAATGAAAGATAAACTCAGAAAATTGTGATTTAAACCATTTTAAACAGCAATATTTAGTTTTGTTCCTATCACTCGTCACAGCAGAAGTGTCAACATTATGAGAGGTAGGCGCTTTTAACTATCCTTACAGATGAACACTGGCAGAAGTAGCTGTTTTGAAAATGCTGCCTTTCTCCCTCATTAATCCCTCATTTTAAGGCGTTATAAATCTGTTGTCCAGGCTTTTTATTGTCACTGCAGGCATGAATCTCTTGTCTTAACATATGCATAAATAGCTATTTTAGATGGCCTAGTGACTGAAGATATCCACACAGAGCTGACAGAGATGAGACAGGTACAGCAGGAAACCCATGCCCTCCTGGAGCAGCAGGTGAGGCCAGGTGAAATACAAGTGGGCATCTCAAACGGCACTAGACACCTATGTGTGGGCAACTGAATTAGGTCTCCTAATTCAGGGGTCCACTGACAGCTTATGAATAGGGACGCACCTGTATATGTTTAGACCTCTCTCTATATAGGCACGTTACTCTCAAATTAAATCCTTCCCTAAAAGTCTCATAGCTAATCTTCAGCAAGATTTTGAGGTTTTTCACACTAAGTTTGAGTTTGGGGAGATTAGAACTGAATGTATCGAAATGAGTGATTAGCTTTATACTAAAAATATGAGAAGAAATTTAAAGGGTATAGAAATGCTGCATTTTGGATTCATTCCATGTCAGTTAAGTAATTTAAAAAATAGTTGTTTGGTCTAAGTTAGTCTAGGGTCTCTCTGCCACTGATCATGATGGCAACCTAAATAAATCCCTTTGACTGGATATCCAATTTTGACAGCTTGTGGTCCTTTAGGTGAAGGTTGCATTGCTTTCCACATTTCCAAAGCAAGACTCTGTGACCTTTCTTTTTTTTTTTGTAAAATGGAATATTTTGTTAAAAATTGGCCTAAAAGAACAAGCAAAAGTGTTAAATAACCTCAACAGAAGGTCAAATATTGTGAGATGAAATACTGACATTGCTTCAACTGCTTGTAACAGGAATCCTATGCTTCCTACCCTGCACTGCAACAGGGAGTGTTGAGCTGGGAAGACGTGGAGGTTGGAGTTGGCTGGGTGCCAGGGACGTGTCTGCTGCCAGCAAAGGGTTTCAGCAGTGGAGCCTTCAGGGTCATTTCAAAAGAGTATTGGGCATAACAACTTCATTCTTCTTCATCTCCCGAGTTTGTTGTACATCATCATAATCCCCAAAGAGAAAACACAGTGAAACATCACTGCTTTTCTCTTCTCTCTGGGTGTCTCTGTCTGTCACATGAGGCAGATCCTCAAAAGTGCTATTGCACCCCGTGGTTCTGACCCTCCTCTTTCTTTTCACACTTGGCTCCTGTATGAGCACTTACTTTTCTAAAGGAAGGGGTTTTATCTTCATTCCTCTACTCAGGTCATCTATAATTTTATAATCTTCTTTGGCATGTTGCTCACTGGTAATCTGTGGCATCTTCCTGTTCCTGGATATCTCTCCCACACCCCTCAGCAGTGGCATGCAAACACCACATCCTGCTCCATCAAAGAAACCATGCAATTATAATCTTTGTCACTCAGCTAAACCATCCCTCCTTGTAATCCCATGATAGTCATGTCTTCCAGCAGTGTCTCAGTTGCATTCCCTAATCTCATACTCCTCGCTATGTGAGAAAGGGATTTTCTGCTTAAAAGAGTGGAGAACTAACAACGGTGAAAATTTCTTACACCAGCAGCTCTACAAAGCACCCTAATGCAGCCGTGCAGATTCCCTTCCCTTTTTTCCTCCCCCATCATCATTAACTGGCTTTGGTTCTCCCCACAGAGGGGCTGAAGTCCCTCAGTTTTGATATCCCTGTGCTGTCCTAGCCTTGAAATATTCACTTTGCATTACCATATCCCTCAGCTCTGCCTAGTGCCCCTAGAACAGTGTCTTGGGCCTCTCTGGAGCAGAGAAAATTTAAAATGTTGGCATTATATTACATAATTCACAAAAGAAACCACAAATATACTTGCTGTCTACAGCAGGACTATCAACAAAATATCCTGGGATTCAAGCAATCTGTATGCAGTTTGATCTGTTTAAGCCCTGTCCCTGAAGATCAGATTAGATATCTCTCCTTCTCTGTTACTTATCTGTTCTGTGAGCACTTGTCTCAGCAGATTAAAACAAATGGGCTTTTCTATGCTTTCCTAGCAAGTAAATAAGGATAAACTACCACGTCCTTCAAAATCCACAGACCCAGGCTATGTCTTGTAGTGGATTATGCAACTGGGCAAACTGGAGATGAGATGCACAAAGCACTTCCTGGAAGAACCAGTCGGAAACTTGCTGAGGCTCTGTTTTTCATATCATTACGCTGAAAGGTCTTAGGCAGGGCAACAGATGATGCCTTTTTCTCCTTCCACTCGTTCCCACCAACGTATAGTGCATGGAGCTAAGGCATTTGTCTTATTCTACTATTCCACTATAGTCCAGGAGCCCTTTTAATGTGCCACAGTAGCTTCCTCTGATAAGCCATGGCACTAAGACTCACCAGCCCATTCCCAACAAACTTGCCAACAATCATCACACCAGCCAATAGGTGGCATAGTCAGGGTTCATTTCAGCATTTGCAACAGAAAGGCAAGTTAGTCAGAGAGCCCCTTTTCCTTCGTGAGGAGAGCCAGCATTCACCCACCCTGAAGAGTACTGGGTAGGAGGTAAACACTTTGTTGCTTTTTTGGTTGTGTAGTACGAAACGGCTCTTAAAAACGTTTTAAGATGTACATGGGATGGCCTAGTATGGTTTCACTGAGGCAGGGTGCCAGACATATTATGTAAAGTGTTGATCTTTCCTACATGTTAAATTGGATATAGAACAGTCAGTTTCCACTCCTCCTTTCTGGCAATAGGCCCAGCCTCATGCCCTTCCATACAAACTGGGCCCCTCGTAGCAGAACAGCTGCCCAAGGTATCAGCAAGACTTAGAAACTGCAGTGGTCCTGTTGATGATGGCAGCTCTCTTCTCAAGAATTAAGGGTATGCTCTTCCTCTTGTTCCTCCCATACTTTTGTTCTGGTCAGCCTGCACCTCCACTGCTGCATTTCTCCAACTTTCTGGATCCTTCAAACATGGTCTACCTCCACTGGGACCATGACAAACAGGAGCTGATGATGTTTGAGCTGCAGGTCCATACAACTGGCTGGGTGGCATTTGGATTCAGCCCTCATGGAGAGTTGCCTGGATCTGACATTGTGATAGGAGGTGTCTTCCCAAATGGCAGCATCTACTTCTCTGTAAGTTGAAGACACTTCCTCTGCATCCCCCCTTTGCCAAGGATCACGCTCCAAGTATATTGGCTTGAAAGCGTATGAGCTCAACTGGCTAAAGACAGATGTCTGAGGCTATTTGAGATCTTTAGTTGGCATGGCCTCTGACTGACAGTCCAGAAGAGCCCAGGTCTTCTGCAGGTCCTGTGTCATGCCTGCTAGCCCCATAACAGCTACCTGAGATACCCTATGGTATCCCAGATGGCACTAGATGATGTTTTTTAGGAAAATAAACTGATCCCACCTGCAAGTCAAAACCACAGCCAGAGCCAATTAGATATGACTGAAACAATCACCTACCATGAAGCTAGAAGAGGCTCCTGGGAGTGTAACTTCTGATTCATCCAAACCAGAGGTCAGTTCAGCCGGGAGTCAGATGTGAAACTCCCATGTTTTCCCTCACTGTAGCTCTTCAAAGGTTAATTTACTTGGTTTCCTCTGTAGTAAGTGGAGACGTGTTCACCTCCAAAGGTTGCTTCTTCCTGATGGTCTTAAATGTCTCCCTTAGGAATAGGATAGGACAGGACATCCTTGGGACTTGCTGTTTTTTCCATTGTCTGTAAAGGCAACCACTAAGGATAGATGCCTGATGTTAAAGCAGCTGGAGTTTAGAGGAACAAAATGCCACTGAGGGTGCTAAATAAAAAAACAGGCTGTTGTTTTGGTTTGTTTTGTTTTGATAGTGAAAGAGAAACAGGCAGTTTAACATTATCCAGATACAGAAAGAAAAAGAGTTTACACTGATGAAGTGTTTGCCAGTCACAATGCTTTTATTTTGTTCAGCTGTTTTCAGTTCCCTTTTCACAGAACAGAAAAATGTGTTTTCATGAAATATGTTTTGGTGCTTGTCTAAAATGGGTGAACTTTGGAAGCAGTGAGGTAGCTAGCCTTACTTATCATTTGTTGGTTGCAAAACCACTCTTGTAATACCCAGTTTCAAAATCTTTTTGTGCTTGTGACACAGACAGGGAATTTTTTGGCTGTGAATGACTACAGGGAAAAAAATTATGATCAATTTAGAAGAAACATTTGTTCTTTATTTTTTAATAATGATTTTTTAAAAAGTGATTTGGGGCAAAACCACATTTATTTTCTCCTAAAAGAACATCCTGAAAGGAAACATTGAGGTGTTTGGTTCCAAAAATAGTAAACATTCCATTATTTTCAGAAGAGATATTTAACATTTTCAATGTTTTTCTGCATTGGTAGCTGAAACTCTTTGTTTATCTTAGAAAATAATTTTGGTCCCACAAAAGTTTTAGGTTTTTTCAACTCTTCTACATATCAGAAAATATCTCCCAATTATTTAGGTCTGGAGACATTCCAGTAAGTAAACACATTAATGACGACAAAAATTCACATTTGCTCAATAGGCTGTATATCACACCCACTGAACCCATGGAACAGAGAGTTTGAAGGAAAAATATGCTAGGTGCTGTAAATGGAGTTTAAGTGGGTTTTCCATTTGCATTCTTCCTTCTAACCTTCTCTCTCTCACATCCTTGGTTTTTGTTTTAATTTTCGTCTTTACTACAACCATAACAAAGTCATTATCTGAGTAATGTCCAAGGGGTAAAAAACTAGTCAAAAAGGCTTGTTTTCACAAAGGTGCAGGGTTTTTTCGGCTGTTTACTGCCTTCCTCTTTCAAAAGGTATATTTAAATATTTTCTTTATTTCAGAGTAGCTCATTTGCAGACTACTTATCTTTGAATTTTGATCATTTAATGAAAGAGTGCAACAGGTATTTCAAAACAGGAGGAAAACAAAAGCTGTATTTTCAAACTATGATATGTCTCTCTGTAAATTGAGCATTTGGATTGGAGAAAAATTGCTTAGAGTATTCTGAAAGTCCAAATCCATAGATAAATTCAAGAAGAAGAAAGAATATTAGAGGAGATGTTGGGAAATTTAGCAAAAGCTGTAAGCAGGTTTTGAAATTGTCACTTAAAGGAACAGAGATGGGAGGAAAAAATACCAGGAAGGATTTCACATAAAAATATTCTTCCTTGACCAGACTGTTGTCTGGTGAAATCTCTCTTCTCTTTTATCCCTCCGAAATTGAGCACCGCAGCAAAGCTTTTCAATGTAGCACTTAACAGCTGTACATTAAGGAGATATTTGATTTATTATGTTTCAGGTTTCTCTCTGAGATATTTTCATCCCATCTGCAGCCACTGCCTTCTCATTTCTGGACACCTGAACTCCTTTGCCACAAAAATATGATGCAATCTCAGTCAGTCAACTTGGAGCTTTACTTTTTATCCTTCTTCCCTTTCCACAGCTTTGTGTACAGTCCCACCTTTTCACCTCATATTTTCGTAGCAGCAGTCATTGTGGCCCATTCTGTTCCCAGTGAGATTTCTACAGGAACTAGAGATTTAGATTCTTTTCAAACTCTGTCTGATGTTTCTGTGCCTTTTTATGGAGTAACAATTGCATTTGATGACCTCAGTCACGCATTATTTGTCTTTTTCACTATGCCTATGCTGCTAAAGCCATTGGTTAGCTTGTAGTATCTAGGAGAGCTTAGCATCCACAACCAGGCCCACGTTCCAGGTGGTATGGAAAACCTAAGAGTTAAAGTAGAAGCTTTGGTATGCCCAAAATATTTTACTTTTGAACTACCTGTTTTTCAACAGGGCTTATTTTACTTCCCAACCTGTGTGGTTGAGCCAGATGTGCTAAAATGCCCCAGCGTGCAGCAGGTCATTCAGGGAGCAGGGAGGATCCTCTAGGATCCATCCTATCCAGGCCATCCTCTGGGTGATGGGACCCAGGGGCTGCTCTTTCCTTGAGCAGCTGGAGATAGCAGGGACTGGATGCGAGTTCTCTTCAATCGGTTTGTGGAAATCACCAGTGAAAGCAGAGGAGCTTTTTGGAGAATGAAATGCTTTGATAATTACTCAGGTTCCACCAGCGGTACTTAGAAACATGACTTCTCAGAGTCTAGGAAGCTCTTCTTTCTATGGCTTTGACCACTGTTCCTTTTCCAGGATTGTCATGTGGTAGATGAGGCAACCCTTGAGGAAGATGAGAGCCAGGACTATCAACTGCTGTCAGTGATGGAGAATGAGACCTCCACCACCACGCTGTTCAAACGTCACCTCCGGACATGTGACCCAAATGACCTGGCTATCACAGTAAGAAAGGGGACTGCTCAAGCAACATCCCGAACAAACCCGCTCTCATGTCTCACTGTATTCCCAAATCCCGGATCAGATCTGAAAATTACAGATTTTTCTCACAACAGTACAATAACAGGAATATACAGAAAAATATGGGACCATGCAGCCACATTTATAAGGCCCATTTCAAGGGCACTATATTGATGTATTTGACGTTTTTTACAATGTTTTCCATCAAAGAATAGGGAAGATATAAATCTCAACATTTTCTTAAGCTTGAACACGTCTTCAAAATTTTGCTCATTTCTCTCTCTCTTGTTTGCCACATATAAAAAACCAATCTAGTATGGGAGATAAAGTTTTTATTTGCCTAATATAAGGCAGTATTTTGGTAAGAATTATGTTTAGAAAATTCAGAATGCTTTGATAATCTCAGTCCTTCTCTCTTGGAAGAACTTCATACCAGTATTGACTGACATTAAAAAATTGTCCAACTCAAAACAGTATTTTAAGTCAGAGATTTTTCAAAAATATGCTTTGCCAAGGTCCACAAGCACACTAATGCACACAATTTCAGAATTCTGCATATATCGACACTGTTTACACCGTTTCACCTTTACTTGGGGGACCTCTGGGTAAATCAGCATTATCCAAGGCTTAGCCCACTCAAAAATGTTTGTCCAGAATTAGGTGTACATTCACCATTTTTCCAGAGTTCAAATACACGTGCAAATGACTGGATAGATGCCTTTGTAGTTACAAACCTTCTTAATGACCTTTACTAATTGAAAGAAATATAATCCCATTCTGAATGGGAAGAACCTACAGAGTTCCATGGCTACTGCTATCCTTACATGATGGGGCAGATCCAGGAGGATCATTGAGCTCATTCATGCTCAACAATAGCTGCTAATGGGGAATCAGGGGACTACAGTTTTGTTAGCTTTTTGTGTAAGTCCCTTAGTAATTCTTTGTAAAAATTGCCCGAAGTACATTAACAGTATATACAGATAAATGAACTGCATCTGCTTGCTCTAGGATATGCAAAGATCTGAAAATCTGATCTTTAGCACCATTGTACAGCTCCCACAGCTAGAACAGTATCCAAACACTCAGCATCTAAACATTTAAACACAAAATGGTGCAGGTTCTGAAATCTTATAAAATCCCTTACAGCTTTTTTCCACCTTTCTTTTATTTCACATACCAAAACTTTAAATCCATGCATGTTTCAATAATGTGTGTGAAATGACAGTGGGTGAAGCTTTCCTAGGGTCTTTTCTAGCCAGCACCCTCTCTTTGGGAAAAAAACATCATGTCTTTGTCTGGACAAGACAAATCTTGTGTGTTAAACTGCTTACTCTCTGTTGTGTGTTCTGACATACTGTCTGAGTGTCTGGGTATGTACCAAATACAGTTATATTATTTTAGATTACTTTTCATTGCACATGGTTAGTATGTGGATTGCATTTTAATACATGTGTAGTGGTATAAGGCATGTGATGTGGGGTGAATACCTGTGTGTGTGGTTGATGGGAAGGAATAAGGGAGAGTTTCATTGGAACTTTCATTACAGATGGACACAGCACGCCTTATTACTGCCTTTGGTACTGATGACACAGTCCAATTCTTTAAAGGCCAAAGATTTTCCAAGTCTCTTTTCTTGATGAGGTACAGAGGCCCATCTGACTCAACTGACCCCAAAATATTCTTCACCTATGACCTGAGGCTGGACAACATAAGTATTGGACAAGAGCTTTACTAGGCATATTAAAAAATTTCCCCTTCTTCCACCTTTCTTTGCAAAGTTGATCAAGCCCATGCTGGAGGTTTGAATTGCACAGGTCAAAAAATGGACATGACTGATCTTGGAAACACTCAAATGGAGCTGGCAAGAGTAGGAATGAAGTGGGAAGGGAAGGCTTGCTGTATGGAGGGTAAAGGGCTTATTTGTTAGGAAAATGCTGTAAGGCGTAGCCTGTTCCCTTGACTAGAGTTTGAGGAGCCAAACACAGGCTGTGGTGCTATTGAATTGCAATATAATTATTAAATCAGGTATGTATGCATACAGGTCTATTAGCCCATCCATGTAGACCCATAGAAAAATATCTATAATATACTGAAGATATTTATGGATTCCCATCTTAGCTTTGTGGGAACTACACAATATCACAGAGAAGAGAAATAATGGGAATACATTTATACGCTTTGTGACGAGTCTGGCTAAGAGCTCATAAAATGCAATACACACTACTGTGTGCGCTGCCTCCAGTATTAACTTATGCAGCATCTCAGTGTCAGATATAAGGATTTACCAGGAGAGCTGGAGCCCCACATTAGCATCACCTCGTGGTACATGCGCCATCCTTGTCAAATGGAGTCCAAAAGTACCAGCTCAGTGTGGTATTGCATTAACATCTTCCTTCTTTAAACAGCATCAGCCCACACAGTCAGCACTCACTCAAGACGCAGCAGCATCTGCTGATCAGCGTGGGCACTATTCCACAGTAAAGAGGGGAACTATTTTTATGTAAAGATTTGTGGGATTAGTGCTATCATGTGTTGTGCTTGTGACTCCAGAAAACCGGTAATTATAAATGTTGATTGAACCGAGTGGACGTTTCCTGTGCTCAGTTCATGTTACAACAGACAAATTAGTAATGCATTCCCTTTTGGAAAAATACAGAAAAAATCTGAAAAAAAAAAGAATTTAAGACCTGGTGGAGCTGACAAATATGTTTGTCCTTCACCAGAATACAGTTTCATCTTCTTGACTCTCACTCATTGCAACCAAAAACCAATCAGACGCTTGCTAAATGCATCGTCCTTCCTGCCCCCTCCACTTCTGGGTCTCATTCTCCTTGCACTGCCTCTCTGTCTTCTCCAATTCCCTGTGCACATTGTTGAGTTGCCAGGGGAACCTTCAGGTGACTTGTGTGTCTGTTTCTTTTCCAGTTTGCTACTCCAGTTGAAGAAACCAAGTATGCCTGTACCTTTATCCCACTGCCCATGGTCAAGCAGAAACACCATATCTACAAGGTAAACTTGCAGGCTGTATTACTGGGGAAAAAACAGGACAGGACAGACTTGCTCCTTCAATCATGCATACAAGTCTGTCTTTTACAGCATTTTAGTATAAATTTGGGAGCATTCCATCTGTCCTTCACTGCCATTGGGATGAGCCAGCTAATCTGTCTGGCTTGTGTGGAGATAAGCTCTGTCTTGTTTCTAGCTTTGGAAGATCTTTGTCTTTATGTACATCACACCTGCAGAAACCTTGCTACAAGTCTGATGTCTCAGTGTAGTGAGCTCAGGTCATGTTACCTATTGGTGTCTTTGAGAGCAAAGGGAGCCTCCAGAATTTTCTATATTTGAAAGGACTTTTGCTTTTGTTCTTGGAAATTGCTAAGAGTATTTGTATAAAAAGCAAAACTAACATTTTGCAGTCCTGTTTTCAAGGTTCAATATGCAAAAAAGACGAGCAAAGAAAAGGAACAGGAACTTTCCAAAACAAGTCTAGCTTACTTCTCAAATTAAGATAATGTTACTTCAAGGTCAAGCAACCCTTCTTAGTTTTGTGGGTTTTGAAGGTTTAAAAACAGATGTTCCACTGCAATGGCATAAGGCAAAATTTCATAAGGAAGTATTTCCATGGACTGGAAAAAGTTGACAGGTAATCCTACAGAACAAACTCAGGAGCTTTAGTCAGTTCTTGTGGTAACATCAAGATTTTGAGGCCTGATGTCATCAGTGCTGGTAAAAAGTTCAGTGATTAATGAACAGATAAAGGTTATTTGCGGGGTTTATTTTAAACTATCTTGATTATAGTACTTTTGGCACAGCTGAGGGAGCAGTGAATTATAGTGAACCTGAGACTGAGGTCCCTTATCTTGCTTTGCAGCCAAGAAAATGGTGTATGAGGTAAACTATTTACATTTCTAGTCTGGAACCACACTTCCCAGCATAACAGGTCAAATAGACACCCCTCTGATTCTAATTAAGGGGAGGTGCTTTAGAGGAAGAAGCAAATCCTTTCTGGAAAAATGGACTCTGCTGGGTGCACACAGAAATGAGTAGATAAATCATCATCCAGTTTACCATCCATTTTGTGAATCAGATTATATCTGTTTGCCTAAGCTATGGTTAATGGCTCTTTCTGGTTGCCTGAGAAAGAAATATTTTAGGGTTGACAATAACTTTTTTCACTCTTTCTCTTGGTTACAGTTCAAACTTGTAATAACACCCCACAACATAACCTTGGTTCATCATATTCTTGTTTATGGCTGTGGCAACGCCAGCATGTTACCCAGTGGCATAGATAATTGCTATGGAGCCAGTCCAGATTTTGCCCTGTGCTCTCAGGTGCTTGTGGGCTGGGCTGTTGGAGGAGAGGTGAGTCTGCAGGGCCCATTCCCTTCCCCATTTCTTGTTATGAACAGTGGTACTCTTGTTGTCAGCTTGTCCAGTAAGACCCCACGGTCCTGCAGGGCCAACCAAACTGGGGAAGTTTCCTCATACTGTTCCCGCTCGACTCTACTTCTGCTGCATTAAGTGATGCTGGCGATTTCTACATAGTTGTCGATACTCTGTGTTATGTGTGTATGTTATTATCATACCTGCATTAAACAAATTTTATATGTCACATAGGAAGGCTTTCATTCTGACCTTTTGATAATGTTGCCAATAATGTCACAAAATTCTCCTTGTGCTAGTCTTGCGTAACAGAAAGAAGTGTACCTACTTTCTGCTTTTTTTTCTGCTGGCTCTGCCTCTTTTACAGCAGAGTAAAACTAAAAGTTCAGTGAAATTGGTGCTTCTGGCTGAGTGGCCTATTTAGTATTCAGTGCTGCACAAATTTTAGCATCTATCTTGTGATGGTCACTTTGCCTTTCAGAGCAAAATGTATTTTGTATTTCTGTAGTATACATGTACATGGGGACGAAGAGAGGAAGGAGATAAGTTTTAGACAAAACCTTTATACTAATTTTATTCAGATTTTATGTTATGCAGTGCCAATACTGATATGAAATTTGCTGCAAGAGTGCACACATACTATAACCATTTCCTATTAAATAAAGTATAAAACTAAAAATGAAACCAGTCAAAAGGATAAATGAAAAATAAATTTTGAAAAGTCTTCCTTGTTCCAATTCAGAAGGAAAAGAAATGGAACTGGCAGAATTTCCCACATTTTGATTTCTAACAATGTCTAAATAAATATTCAGAGACACAAGAAAAGAAGAACTTTCTTTTTGTAAGTTTTCAATCAGGAAACAACACAGAAGAGTTAAAAACTAACTACTTCATATAACTTTATTCCTCCTCTTCCTCTTTCCACAAGTCTTACCAGTTTCTGGATGAAGCTGCAGTTTCCCTAGGGACACCTTGGGATCCTCAGTACATCCGACTAGAAATCCATTACAGCAATTTTGACTTGTTACCAGGTGGGTAATGCTGGGCAGTTGTCTGACAAGAAAAGCCTCAGGATGGAAGCCTCAGACCTCACCTACATGCCTATTAGAAACCGGCTTCTGCATGAAACACTTCCATACGTTGCTCAGTACAACCTTCAGGACAGTAAGAAGAAACTGGACTGGGCTCCCATTCAGGAAGAACTTAAACTAGCTTTAGAAACACAGATAGTTATGTCTGCTTAGATTAGACACGTCTTGCCATTGAAAAAGCTGAGCACATCTTCCTGCTATGATACTAGTGGGAGTGTTAGGGAAAACTTCAGGGAAATGTAGACATCATGGGAAAAAGGAGCAGCGTGGGAAGGGATAGAGTGGCTGGGGGAGAAATAGGTGTACCAAAGGTCAGGATCAAGTCCTGAGAGCCAGGTCCTGATAATACCACGTCAGGCTTCTACCATGACCTCTAGCACTCAGTCCCTATGACAGGTGATGAAGAATGCCACCACGGTATCTGCTATCATTTTACAGAAGGGGAAACAAAAGTGTGGAGTGATTTTATGGGAATCGTCTGAGACTATAAGCCCGGCTGGATCCAGATGCACTATAAGTGCACCTGTGCACCTTGCATGACTTAGAGGCTGTACATTACAATGGACCATAACAGGCCCCAACAGGGGCAGGGTGGAGGGCTTAGGCCTTCCTGTTAATCTGTGCCTGCTCCCAACCTGTGACTGGGAAAGAGACACTATATGTGTTGTTGCTTCAGGCCCCGCTTCTGCTGTTTCTGGAGTTATTGCTGAAGGAGTGGTCATTTTTCTTTTACAGGTTTGATCGACAGCTCAGGGGTACGAATCTACTATACTCCGGAGCTACGGAAATATGATGTGGGGGTTCTGCAAACAGGCATCTTCACTTTCCCTGTGCATTTCATTCCTCCTGGAGCAGAATCCTACAGATCTTACGGCCTTTGCAATTCCAGCCAGTTTGATGAAGTGAGTGTGGGGAAAGCCATACGAAATCCTTCTTGATTTTTCCCACTTTGGGTTTTCATCTTGTTCTAGACATGTCCAAAAGCCATTTGGTGCAGGGTGCCATCTTAGCCTCCATTTCTGCATGTTGCAAAATGAATATCTATTCCAATAAAACTGCTCAGCAGAGACACAAGAGCATTATCAGAGCTGTGTAAGCATGTCAGAACCACGGCTCGAATACCCATTCACCCCATCTAAGTGAAAGGGAAACAAAACCCAAAGGATGTAGTGACTTCCCAAGACCCCCAAGGGATTCTGCTCCACCACATGCAAGAGGCCTTGTCCTGCCATATGTGTGCCCTACTGGTGTAGGAAGGCAGGCACTAGGCTGGGAGGATGTGGTGCTCTCTCTCAGGTCAAGAGGCTGCTAACAATAATCAGCTCTGGTGGACTGTGGGACCCAGGGGATTCACAGGTCCCTCCAGGACTGCTAGATGTGAGGTTGCCACTTTCCCCTTTCCCAGGCCCAGCAGGTGCTAAGGCTGGGGGCAAACTCCAAAGATATAGACACCTCCCACCCCACCCAAACACACACACTCAGGGAGCAGACTCAGCGGGCCACAAACAGATCAACACAGACAGGAGTACAATACCTTTACAGGCACCACACAGGCACAAACACCACCCACGTGAGCACGGACAGCACAAATGACCCGATTCTCTTCCTCCTCTCTGACTAATCAGGCTTAAAGTTCACTAGAGGAATATAGCCATAAGCATGCTCACTCAGCTCCCATACGTAATCACATTTGTTGGTCTCTCTGATTTCTGGTCCAGACCATAAGCCCTTTCAGCATCTGTGTGCAGATCCAGGACCCTTTTACGCAGTCTCTGGCCTGGACCTTGGGTCTTTCTAGCTTGAAGTTTCCTAGTGGATCATCCCACCCCAAAACGACAGGCACACACATATACACAGTATACAGCGCGCACTCACACAGAAAATAGTTAGGAACGGAGTTTAGTAATATAGTCTAGATTGCAGTGATCAGGTACCAGGTTTGGTCAGACAAAGCAGACCAGCAGTCTGCTTACATACAACTGGACTCTCCTCTTCCTCTCTACATTTTCGCATGTTTGTTTCTCTCTTTCCCTATCTTTGACCTCTTCCTTAAGCATCACACAATAAATTTTGCACATTCCCACAATCCACTTAGAACATCCCTTAAGTTTTACACAGTCTCACAATCCCCCTCGAACAACCCATAAGTTTGCTCCCTCTTATGAGGCCTGAGGTAATCCTGTTTTTCTCCTTTTCATCAATTTTCAAAGATTTTCTTTGAAACTTTTAAGGTTTACATTTTGATGGTTCTTTTAATGGCCCATTGATAAGTGCCTTACAATTTCTGCTTTTACTCTTTCTATTATCTGCTCTTTCTTAGAGTTCATGTACGTGCATGTTTAACTTATTACCTCTCCTGTGTCTTGTCTTAGTTTTTTACATAGCTGATAGCAAGATATGCTTACAGTACACAGCATGAGATATCACAAACTCAGACAACTATGCCACAGTACGTAAAGCCAGAAGAGCAATTTTCAGAAAGGCTCACCAGAGCAAATTTTCAATCAGTAGTGACCTACATGAGGAAATGGGCTTAAACCTCCCTTTTAAAAAAAAATATTAAGCTAACAATTACATGAGCTCCATCAAGCTTTTGACTTGATGGGCAGGCCTGAAACACAGTGCTGAGCTCTGACTGCTAGACTCTGACCTACTTCATTTTGAACTGCAGATGAATGGTTCCAGATCTGCTGGTTCCAGATCTGCATGTCTTTGCCTACTTGCTTCATACCCACCTGTCTGGCAGAGGAGTGAAAGCTGCTCAATACCGGTAAGAGAAGCAAACTCGGTATTGCTGCCTATGCCACAGGATCAGTCCGTGCCTCTTGGGCTAGAGTGGATGAGATCTGTCTGTCAGTGCAAGAGACTCTGCAATGTCTGAATTGTAGTACAAAGAACTAGCTCCTCAGGGAGCTAGAGGGTCAGCTGAGCAGAGACTATGAGACCAGGACTGTGCCTCCTGTTAAATAAAACAGGTCCAGGCAGTGAGCTCAAGCACTGTACTGTTGCTCATCCACACTAGTCAGCTGCTAGACAGTGCCCTTGCATAGCTTGGTCCTGCTAACCAGACTCACGCTGAGGCTACGCGGGCACAGTTCTGGAGATTGTGTGTACCAGTTCCCATGGGCTGCTTGGGCAAAACTACACTGGGTTTGGCCTCCGCTATCCTCCCACACTAAAAACTTCAACACCCTTATGCACTCTCTGATCACACCCCAGCCCATGAAGCATGAATTCTCAGTTTCAAGCTACAAAAATAGCAAATCATGGTCTGCAGCACAGCATTTGAACACTACTTCAGCCACTTAGAATTTGAAAAGAAAAACAAAACCCAGAACTAAAAAACAATTGTGCTTTAGTTCAAAGAGGCATCACAGAGGTCCAAGTGCTTTCTAGTATAGGTATAAGGCCTATATCAATACAGTATCAACACAGGCTGGTGGATGAAGGGATTGAGAGCAGCCCTGCCAAGAAGGACTTGGGGGTACTGGTGGATGGAAAGCTGGACATGAGCCAGCAATGTGCGCTCGCAGCCCAGAAGACCAATCGTATCCTGGGCTGCATCAAAATAAGCGCGGCCAGCAGGTCGAGGGAGGTGATTCTGCCCCTCTACTCGGCTCTGGTGAGACCCCACCTGGAGTACTGCGTCCAGCTCTGGAGCCCTCAGCATAAGAAAGACACAGACCTGTTGGAGCGGGTCCAGAGGAGGGCCACAAAAATGGTTAGGGGGATGGAACACTTCTCCTATGAAGAAAGGCTGAGAGAGTTGGGGTTGTTCAGCCTGGAGAAGAGAAGGGTCCAGGGAGACCTTACTGCAGCGTATCAGTACTTAAAAGGGGGCTTATAAAAAAGATGGCGGCAAACTTTTTAGCAGGGCCTGTTGCGACAGGACAAGGGGGAATGGCTTTAAACTAAAGGGGGGTAGATTTAGACTAGATATAAGGAAGACATTTTTTATGCTGAGGGTGGTGAAACACTGGAAGAGGTTGCCCAGCGAGGTGGTGGCTGCCCCATCCCTGGAAACATTCAAGGTGAGGTTGGACGGGGCTCTGAGCAACCTGATCTAGTTGAAGATGTCCCTGCCCATGGCAGGGGGGTTGGACTAGATGACCTTTAGAGGTCCCTTCCAACCCAAACTATTCTATGATTCTATGATTCTATCTCCTCCTTAGGTGTCTAATTTCAGAATAACCTAACATGAGCCAAGTATCACACTGCAGACAGTTACAGGGAGGCAGACAATTAGTCAATGCCAGTGAGCCAGAGAACAATACACGACCCTATGATATAGGATCTAACACAATTGTCTGATGGGTATCTTTCTCTCTCTGGACAGTGTTATCTGCAAAATACTCACCTAGCAGCCTCTGCAGCCTAACTGTGACATGGCAAACGCAGGGGAAAGCTTTTTAAGAACCTTAGGAAATAAACTTGGTCTGCTATAACTAAACTAAATAAATGGGAATTTTGCAACTTGAAAGATGCATTGTGAATATGTGTGTTCCCCAATTATGCCTGTCTGCGTCTCTCAGGAGTAGCACGTTATAGCTGGCAAACATGGTTGTCTCTTGGAAAAGGAGCAAAGTAGACATCAGTAAAACCTATTGGCTTCAAAGCCATTCCTCAGTTTCAATGCTAGTGATCTCCCGCCCAAACTGGCCTGACATTTGGATTGCTATACTAGACAACAAGAGAAGAGGAGTGAGCCTCCCTCCATCTCACTAGCTAGCACCTTCCAAGGGCATGCTCCAAGTAGCAGGGAGTGATATAATCAGGAGAGTTTTCCTTAGGCTTCAGAAGAAAATGGAAGGTTCTGTCTCTTTGCTAGGAATCATTTGAGGTCAATCTAAAGAGGACTAAGGCAACAGTTCAATGTACTTAGGATGAGCATGTATCTGAGAAATGACCTTTACAGACTTTACCATGCTAGGACCATGTCCTGAAGCCATCTCAAGCACAGGCTCCAGAGGAGGTTGAGTGCTTGAAACACCTTCTGAACAGAGATGATTCAGGCACAGTGAGCAGTTGGGGTGACTATTTTTTTTCTGGGATTTCCCCTGTAACATGTAGGATAACTATGTTGTTCTTAGTCACTTGTCCAATTAGTGGAGACCCCAGACTCTTTGGAGCTTGATCTTGGCAGAATATAGCAGATTGTGATCTTTGATAGCAATTTAGGGGCAGGCCTGTCTCCTTTTTAGGTGTTAATTCCGGAATACCTCAGCATAGGCCAAAAGTCACACATAGCTGCTATGAGTGACTTAGCCAGAGTTATTTTGTTCCAGACGATAGCAATAGTTTTTGGCTCCTGCTCTTTATGCAAGTCACATGGTATATATAAACCGTGTGTCACGTGACAGAGCATCTTCTTTCTCGACTTGAACTTTGTGAAGCCTGGCCTCCAAGCTAGGTTCCTCCCTCCTGAACCCATTTTGCTATAAGGTGTAGCTGGACAGTGGCGTGAGCCTACCAGTTCACCTGCTCAGAGCTGCCAGCAGTCACAACAAGCAAGCACGGTGTGCGACAGCTGCTGAGACAGCCTGGCCATGAGCGCCACAAGGATTTGTGGGCTGGGTGCCTCGATGCACCTTGCAGTGTGCACTGTGGACGTACTTAGCAAGTTCTAAGGACCTGTAACATGGATGGAGAAGCAGCGCTCAAGCAGAGCAGAGACCACCTAAGAAGCAATATCACAAAGCACTGTAGAAATAGCAAGGAAGAATTCACATGTGATACTTCTGCATCTACAAGGGAGGTCCTAAAGAGCCTGCCAACTCTAACCTGCTAGGGTCAGAGAGTCTTTTTATTTAGAACAGTGTTTTGTATTGCAAGTATTGGAGTTCTTACTTCTGGGATCCCAGACTGTCATCTGAAAGGTGAAAGTTTCAAGGCACAACAATTACTAACATGTAAAAAGTCCATATTTGGACTCCAGACCAAAGAGGGCTGGGTGAGAAACTTCCAGTGTATGTTTGGGACTGACTGTCGCTGAAAATACGTTCTGTGAGTTACAATACAAAAGAGATCAGGCATGATTTCTGGAGGGGGTTTTTCTTGTCTGTTTATTTCATCCAGGAATCGGTTATTCCACACCCCTCCCTAGAAACATTATAACTTTCTCCCCTCCTTTGTCTTCCCCAGGAATGGTGAGCAGCTGGGGATCATCTGTGAGGACAATAAGTATGACTTCAGACTGCAGGAGATTCGGGACATGAAGGAAATCCTCATAATCAAACCAGTACGTTCCTCCCCTGGGATGTAGCCATGGGTGGGCAGGCTGGGGAGGTGGCGAGCACCAGAGATGTCAGAGCACATCGACATATTCTGTCCTTCATTCCACCTTAGACTGTGGCCCATTGTTTTCACACAGTTTCCTGGTTCCCCATGTTGCGAGCAGTTGTTTTGTGTGCTTTGCCTGTACAGTTCTGACAGTGTGACCTACTGTGTTCCCTAGGGGGATGAGATCCTGGTCGAATGCAACCTTCAGACACTGGATCGGTCAGGGCTTACTTTTGAAAGTTTGTTTTTCTACCTGCAAATCTTCCATTGCATTTAACATTAGTTTATCACCATTAAAATCTTTTGGGCAGACATATCTCTCTTCCCCAAGCAAATACATTGCTGGCAAAAGCTTCTTGTGACAGACACAGTATCATAGACATACTGAGGCATGCCTTGCACAGTTGCTCCATGGCTGGAGAGTAGCTCTCCAGCAAGACCTTCCTACTATAAGCTTATGAACAGATCCCAAAGCTAGCTTGCATCTAATACCATACAAGCTAACTCTTGTCCAAAACGTCAAGTGCAAGTAGCAAAATTTGCAGCTGAGTTGGTTTTGAATCATTGAACACTTGGATTTAGTGGACAGGCAGAAGTCAAATACAGAAACTGACATAATCTGGCAGCTGGATCTGATTTGGACTTCTCAAAATATGAAGACATTCTTTTTAGTTCTTCTTATTCAGACCAGGCATCAGTTTTGCAGAACTTAGCACATAAACAATTATTGCCATACTTCATATCTTATTTTACAGCATATGCCATGCAGAGGAGTTAATGATGTTATTGCACTTAGAAATGTGCACAAGAAACTGAGATTCAACCTAAAGAGGATTACAGAGTTTATATTCACAGAGAGCAACACTGTTTGATTTTGGTTGGGCCTATTCCAAACGTAGGGATCAACTGAAAAATTCTGATCTGGATGTCACACTCAGTTAATTCCCTGAAAGTTTTAGTTGAACTGCCCAAAGTTTCAGATTTTGGGATCTTGTAGACGGAAATACAAATATAGTAGTCTTCCTGAAGGAAAGAATAAGTAGATTTAGATTATAAACCCACAGAGCAGCCTATTTATCAGACTCTTGTGAGGATACTTTGATTCTCTGTTTCTAACTCTCTTAGTCCTGTCTCTTAGGCTGCAGTTGCAAGTAACTGTCCCAGGCATATTTAGTCACCACTTAACTTCAAACTTAAAAAGATAAAAATTCTTCTCCAAAGAGAAAAAACACTCTTGTGTCTTGGTAATATAACAGTGCCTAGGGGGTGATGCCATGGCAGTGCATTTTTGACAGAATGAGTAGTAAAATAGTGCTGAGGGTCCCTCAGACAATGTGCATACAAAGGGAGTTAGGATGATCCAGAAAATCTGCATACATGGGACATAGTTTCCTGGCTCTTACTTATCTGGCTGCATTTCAGTACGTCAGTCCAGTACCTACTCATCTTAGAGGTAAATTAGGGGAAAAAATCTCTTAAATTGGGAAAGGATCAAAACTCCATCTTCTTCTCCTCTCTCAGAGACCTTCTCCGCTGTCAGAGGCGAGACCCATGTCGTGACTTTCTCTGAGATGGCTAGTTATGCATCCAGACAGCAAGAAAACACTAAAATGCATCCAAAACTCGCAGTGTTATGCCAGAATCTTGTGACTCCCAACTTAAAACCAGATCATGTAATTTTATTTTTCCTTCTTTCCTTTCATGCCCAGGAACTCCAGAGAAATGAGAGTGGTCTAATCAGAGACATTAGTATTCCAGAGCAGGCTGCCTGTCACAATATTTCTAGACACCTCTCACTGTCAGGTCTGAGGGCCACTGCAAACCTTCGTTTGACCGCAGTTCATGCTTCTGAGTCATCAGCCACCAAAGAAGCTGCTTCACTTCCTCTTCTTTCTCTCACACAACTGGTGTTTGCTTGGCTTATCATCTTGGCCTCTGAGTATGGGAAGTGAGGGGCAGAATACCAGAACAGACAACTGGCCTGCTGAAGAAGTCTCTGTAATTACCACCCGGTAGCGGGGTATTCCAGATCTGATGGCCCTAAACATGAGAGGATACTTACATAATAGAAAATTGTTTCCCTTTGGAAGAAATAGGTTCAACAGGCATTGGCATTTATTTTATTTTCATAAAAAATACTTTCTAGTATAGTTTGTTCTAAATCAGAAAAGCAATTTACTATAATACAGTAAAGACAGGAATACAGTCATCTCTTCAATAGCTGCTGCTTAATTATTAAATTCAGAGCTTTCATAGATGGGCTACTATATGTATTTGCTCACTGGCATTACAGCAATCATTATCTAGTCTCAAGCTATCTACATACTCCCGATACATAGGTCAGTATAGAAAACTATGCTCCTTAGTTATTAAATAATGTGTTTGATTCTAAAAATAGTCCTGCAATGTCCAGCAAGAAAGTAGATATTCCAATGGCTGCATGACAGGGAATTTACCTGCTGATTGCCAGGTAATAATGAGGCAATGACTTGGTGTTTACTGAAAAATAGACTTATACAGTGTCATATAGCAAACCTATGAATTCCAATTTTACAAAAGCTAAGCCATTTGCTGTTCTCTTTTCTTATATTTTTCCCCAATGTATACATGACATTTAGAAGAGCAAATCTGATGATAGTTATGTTCTTTGTCACCATACTGACTCTTCCAAATTACAGATTTCATACTGGTACTTTTCAACAAATTCTCTCCCCACTTTCCCCAAGGCAGAGTCTCTGCTTATTTTGACAATAATTAGTACACCAGATAAAAACACTTTTGGACTTCAAAAGCAAACATCACAAAGCAGAGTGATTAGGAGGGTAACTAACCACACAGAGTGCGTTCCTTCCTCATTGGGCTGATGAACATTTATTAGCTAGTAATTATCTTGGCTAAAACTGAAGCATGGACAGAAAAAAAAAATTGCCTTGAAGGCAAGTTCATGAAGAGAATTCATGAGATTCCAAGAGAATCATCCAGACACCCAGAGCCACGTCCAAGATAAAACATACATTACTGACATCACTGTGCTGTGCTTAGTAACATGATCTTAATTCTCACTAAACATTTTCTTCTTCATATTCACATGGGAATATATCACATTCCTTCTCACTCAAAATGTAGCCAAGTCACAGCAAGGCTGGTATTACTGAGTGACATATTCATCTTCCCTTGTACTTAATGGGGGCAAGGGATCATGGCTCATGAATTGGCAGGGCTCATCGAGAGGGCTTTAAACTAGGTTCGAAGGGGGAAGGGGATAAAACCAGGCTCACTAGAGATGAGCCTAGGGGTGGC